GCATGTTGGATTAGGGATAATATTGACAATACTAAGAGGAACCTCATCTTCACAAAGTCAAGGTAAGTTTATCAGAACTCAGAAGATTTGATCTTGCCAGGAGTAGACCAGTCACTATGGGCGATAGTAACACATCTTTTAATATGGAGGCGGCAATTGACTGCTATGCATATACACACCATCGGCTACTGATTCACTTAGCATGTTAGCTATTTGGTAAAGCCTAATTCTTTTATTCCAACAGTAATATCTAGTCAATGGTTCCTTGGCAGCACTGCCGAGATGCTGCCAAGCACAACCCTCCTTTTCTTCTTTGCGGATGTGGTCCCGAAACGGTCCCGAAAAGGGTCCAGGATGCAGCCAAGAATCAAAGTGCGGAGAAATTAGAGTGTGCGGTGCCCACGGACCCGATTAGTACTATAATCATCAATTGCCGATTAGTGGTGAACTAAATGGGGGTTTTGTAGAGCATGGTGCTTACAGTCATGCCATCAGTGGTTCATCCGTAACCTATACATACCATCTAACTGTGACTGTATCAGGCTCTCTTGTTGCATCGTGTACCCTTCCGAGGGCACGAGGGCACCGTAACCATAACAATAACTAGAATTAGACTAATGTATTTCTTGCCCAGATGACAATATTCGCTGCTCATTCATCTGTAAACTTCTTGTTTAGCTCCATTACGAATATTCAATCCTCCCATTTGCGTCGGCATAGCGAAAATAAGACTAACATACCTGGACCTCCAGTTGAATTCCCAACCCTTGGAATGACAGACGGAGCTTCACCGGATGTATGGATACTTAATGAACAAAAGATTAGTATATCGTAACTTTTTGAGTTTACTGCCCATCCAAGCTTCTTATGAACTAGTACGTGAATACGAAACCAACGTAATAGGAACATGATATCAGAGAAATGAGATGTGGCATTCTACGATATAAAGAAATTTTTGAGACCCAGATTAACCTGCCGGCCTTCACAAATAGACGCGCAAGGCGGCAATGAGATAATAGAATGAGAAGATAACAGATACAGTGAAGATAGGTATATTTGGCGTTCACAGAGAAGCAACACTGTGCAAATTGATGAGCCGGGGGGAGGGGGATGAATTGGCCAGACTAGTTGACCACGGCCGGTGAAGATAAAAATTCATCCATGACAAGCGGTCTCAACGTATTAACGCACATTTCTTGTTCGCTGATTAACGCAACGCATTGGACGTCACTACGTAGAGAGATATTACATTCACCTTTGACCCAATATACGTAAACAAAAGTGGGCTATTTAATCCACCCCCCAACCCCACGAACTGGTTTTTGCCCCTTTCCCAAAACAAAATTGTGGAAAATCCCTATCGCATGAGATGTGCCTGGGCCTTGTCTATATATAACCTGGGACTTCCCGTCAACGTCAAATACTCTGGCATATATAAACGTCTTTATCTTGTCGATCGGAACCTCTCTACAATCCCGCATCATCGCTCTCAATTGTGCACTTTTTGCATCCTTACAGGAATGGCGCAATGTCAACAACCTCTCCCCCAAATCCAACCTTTTCTGACAATAAACCGGCTTCAAAGAGGAGCTCTCAATTGACGCAGCAATTATACTTCTGACGCGACTGAGTGAGATCTCGAATATCGAATCTCTTATTCCAGCCATCCTGCACCACACAGGATAGACCTTTCTGCCATGCTCACTCATCCTCGGTGCAAATATAAATGAGCTGGCAAGTTATATATACTGAGCAACTTCTTGACACAGTGATACTTCGTTGCTAGCCGCTTTATTGTGGGGTTTTCATCATATTGTACATATATGATTACCATCAGGATAAAAGCGCGACTGGAGAGCCGCAAAAATGGTTGACATTCGGAGATTGAAATGGGGATAATCCATGCTGACTAGGAGGGAGGGTTATGGGAGAGTTGATGAGGGAGCACAGTGACTTCCAACTGCCCTTCTGTGATGGATCAATTTATCCCGTGTCTGATGATATGTTATGGTGAGTCGATAATACACAGGATAGCTGCTGCCATTGATGCTGACTGGGAATAGCTGCTTGATGGTGCCTTGCTGGGGGCTGACAACTTCCAGAATGAATAAACAAAGATTTCATGTTTCTTGTCCACTTGTTGTGACGTCGATATCTCGTGAACACTTGCTTGCTGTGGCAGGGAGATCAAGGAACGATCAGACATGCAAATATACAGCAGCAGTACAGCTTCAAGCTCAGCTAAGACACTGACTACCAGAGAATGCCTTTCGGGGAGGTTATTTGTGGATGCACTATTATCTTTACAGACATGTGATTATTATGATTACTTTGATCTGATGATTGGGCTGTGGCACGCATTGGAGCTTGTCTATGAGTCCTAAAGGGTACGTCGATGTATTCACCTTGCAGGAAAGAGCGAAAACGAGCAAACGTTCACCTAATCGTCACATGCTTGCTAACTATAGAGCACCATAGGAGCACACAGCACCATATCATGCTCGCTGCCACACAATGTTCATTGCTCGCTGCCACAAACCGTCTTTGTTCACAACCATGCACTGTGCCTCGTTCACTGCTGCACAGTCTACCTGCTCGCTGCCACACGTTATAACTTACTCGCTGCCACAAGCTCTCTTTGTTCACAACAAGAAATTCTGCCTTTCTCGCTGCCGCAGAAGGATTCTACTTCATAGCCTTCTGTATATAGCCCACTTCTGAGGGAATTGGTCCATGTTCCTTCACGAATGGGTTTGCCTCCAAGGTATAAAGCCTGTCTCCTTCCCTGTCGTTTGGCTTCCTTTCCTTTTTCTCCCCCAGTTCTCACTGCTCTTCTGAGACATTGGTTGTAACAATGGATTGGACGGAGTTGAATAAGGTTGCGATTGTCGCAGGTCTTATTTGCTTTGCTATCGCTCTCAAGAATGAGGGCCCCAAGCTTCGAGAATGGTATCGCAAGCTACAAGAAGCCAGAGCTGCTCAGCCGGGCGCCTCTGTCTTCCAGCAGTTGGCAGTGATTCGTTCGCCGCCTCCAGCTTTGCTGCTGATCCATTCACATTCAGCGATTGAACTCAACTTCTGGGAGAATCAAGGTGCCTTGGGGGAAGGTACTCGTCTTGAGGACTCAGGAGAACGGGGAGATCGTATGTGGTATGGATATGACGCACAGTGGTAGTTGCGTACATCTCGTTGGCTTGGGGATTAACCTCTTTTTAGAGCGCTTGGCGGAGTTTGGGGACGCCCACCGGCGATGAGTCTACCCTTCTACGTAGGGCCGGTGATTAGTAGCCTTCGGGCGAAGCTAAGATGGACTCAGGATTCGGATCTATTTAGATCGAATGAAATTATTTGCAGAATACTTCTTCTCTTCCTGTCCTATCAAGTAAAGTTGCCTCTAGTCATCTTCAGTGAGCGACCTCTATGCGGTGCAACTATTCCATCAGCGCTTCTTAGATGGGCCTAATACCTTTGTATTGCACTATATAATATTGAATGATACCTTCCTTAGTCGCCTTTAGCGGTAGATGTTCCAGGATCTTAAATCTAGTATCTTTTTGGTCATTATTAAATTCTACAGAGCTTACTCCTTTCCTCTTGGATGACCGTTATATCAGAATCTTCCCTTGTACGCCTGATCCAAGAGCGACAAACATATAGTATAAATGCACTACCAGCTTTATTATTTGACGGATTGAGCGTCTTGATCATCGGTTGTAAGATGTGTAATAGTATTGTCCAGCTGCCCCGCCAGTAACTTCCTGGGAGGCAACTTCGACGAAGCGGGTATAATTACGCTCCTCATACTCGACCACCTTCTTCCAGTTCTACGAATATCTACATCGATAACAAGAAGAAGCAACTTGAGAAAAAGCGAGAGTCCTTCATAAAGTTGGGGATGAGATGCCAATTTCGCGGCGACAAGCAAGCAATACCTTCACTCGTAATTCTTCCATTATCGAGAAGTCGACGTATCCACGCCATGCACCAAAGATAACTGAACTTTATCATTTCCTACACAACGGACTAAAACACCTACTGCCTTGGCGCTTGTCACCAATCACGTCTACAGAACTGAGAGCTGCAATCTTTGGACAGCTGACCAAAGCTCAAAATGTCCTCGCTGATCAGACTTTGACGTTTATGTTCGCGTTTATGACTCGCTTGATTGACGAATCTGATCGAAGTTAACACTTCTAATTAGAGAAAAGGTATCACGGGCGATGACACAGAGTCCGAAGTCAAACAGCGAACTTGGTGGCCAATGATTTATCAATTTTCTAGGTCTTCTGCTGCGGTAGCCTACCTGCTAAGAAACTATGGGCTATAACCCTTAAAAGAAAATCAGCACAGCCAAACCTTAAATGAAGGTCACTGTTTCCCAGAAATGGGAGACCGAGCAAGAGCAATGTCATGCCAACGCAGAGCTCAGGGTGGGACAACGCAGTGGTCATCGAGAGGATACAATTATTTCCGGGCTGTCGATCACGCTATGTGTACAGAGACTGTTGCATTGCCTAGTCAAAAGATCCCTTCGGTACTCAATTTCGGGAGATATCAAGCAGCCCATTACCTCCAATGCAAGGCGGCACGATCATAGGAATTCGATTTACATGGGGCAGACGTAAGACTACGTGCACCAATCACTAAGGTCCACGGATCACAAGTCACAAGTGACGGTATCTTTCTGGCAGCCTAAGATCTAGTCGGTGTGAAAGTCCCTGCACCTGAAGCATTGCCCCTAATTTTATCGCGATCTGTCCGCAATGGCGGGTGAGATCGACGGCGGTGTGGCTTGCATATGCATATGACACTACACTCTGGGGTTCTCCAAGGGGATGGGACCGGCCTCTCTGGCTTTCAGGAAGGGTGGCTATTGTTCAGACATAAGCGACGGACTACCAGGCTTGCTGCGCACACGCAAAGTATCCCTGGCTCTATTATAGCCATCCGTCTTACTGATACGAATACCTCTTGCTAGCTTTGCCGATGTCCTTGTCCTCATGGCGAGCCTGTGCGTTGAATGGAGCTCCTATATGCGCTACACAGGTGCTGATCACGTAACACTCACAGAGTACAGAAAGAATTACAAGAGCAGTGTCAACCATCGCCCAAACTCGCATTCCTCCAGCTTACCGAACCGTTATACGGGGAGAGTGGAACTTTGGCATTTCAAGACCTGTTGCGACGCTACCAAAAGCACTGGAAAGAACTACCAGAGGCAGCCAAGAATGGCAGCTCGTCAGACTGGGTGGTGACAGTTGATCATGTTCAGCAGAGAATAAAGTCGGTTATGCCCCATATGACCGAATTCATCTCATGTGAATCCCGGCAGCCAGCCCTCCTGGAACCCAGGTCAGGCCGCGTCATATCACACACAGAGGTGCGGGAGTTCATAGAAAACTTTGATCTTATGCTCCCAGACTCAATTTGTGGGAAGCCGCGGGTGGCAGTCGTTCTTCCCAACGGGCCTCTCCTGGCCCTGGCTTTACTTGCGGTAGCGAACCGCTATACCGTTGTGCCGATGGCAACTACAGCAGCCCCTGAGGAATTAATGACTGACCTTGACGCGGTCGGGGCAGATGCAGTTCTCATGCTTGAATCGGATACGAAACGGCTGCATAAAAAGACGGAGTTACTCGTCTTCACAGTTCAACCCGAAGATGACTTGACTTTCAGTGTTACTTGCACAAACTGCTCCATTGAATCGTGTCGAGCCCAGCACGCTCCCAATGGTCCGGATGAACTCGCCATCATTTTGGCCACGAGTGGCAGCAGTGGTAACAAGAAGCTAGTTCCTATCACCATGTTCAATCTTCTTGCCAGTGCAACATTCGTGATGGACAGTCTGGAGTTGACTCCTGGATCTCGCTGTTTGAATATGATGCCACTCCATCATGTGTATGAGCCCCTTCGTTACTACACAGCGAATGCGAAAAGGTATGTACTGACATAGAAAGCGGCGGTATGATGCGAAATTTGTGGGCTCCCCTTGTGGCAGGGGGTATGACGATCTGTTGCTCTCAATTTGATCCGAACCTCTTCTGGGATATGGTGGAAGAGCATCGCCCAACGTGGTACTACGCAGCACCAACGATGCATGAGATGATAGTAGCCGAAGCTGCACAACGGGTTGAATCTATTAGGAAAAGCACTATTGCAACTATATGCAACGGGGCAGCAGCACTGCCCCCGAACCTCGCACAGCAGCTCGGAGACATATTTCAATGCTCATTGTCACTCAGCTATGGAATGACTGAATGTGTACCCATTACTGCACCACCTAAGGCCGGCCGCTTCAGTCGGCCAGGAAGCACCGGACTGGCCGCGGGGCCAGAGCTAGCAATTTTTCACACGCAGCACACGCAGCAGCATGCCCCTACTGGCTCGGTAGGTAGGATCTGTGTCCGAGGCCTACCTGTATTCCCAGGTTACCTCATCAAAAATGGACTGGATCGGAGCTCGTTCACTTCAGCAGGGTGGTTTGACACGGGTGATCTCGGATATGTTGACGAGAATGGGTGGCTCTATATCACCGGGCGGACGAAAGAAGTCATCAATCGCGGAGGGGAGACGATATCGCCGGTGGAGGTCGAGGATGCCATGGTATCAGCTTCCCGAGACCCGTCATCGAATATTTTTGGCCGTATCAGGGAGGCTCTGGCATTCCCTACTCCCCATGATGCCCTTCAAGAGGTTGTTGGTGTGGCGATTGTAACCCCAGCAGGTCGCATGAGGCCTGATCTTCGCCAAATTCACAAGGCTCTGAGGGAGCGTCTTCATCAGCCCAAATGGCCTGTTCTTTTGGTTTACATGGATGGCCTTCCTAAATCACGCAACAAGTTGCGACGCATCGGCCTAAGTCAAAGACTGGGTCTGGAGACATTGACAGATCAAGTTCCTACGGCTGAGCGGCACTACGAGGCACTGTGTCCGCCGGTGGATACACCTGTCAGCGTATCCATCACTCGAAAACGATGCGAGGTCAATTTTCGCTTGGTGGAGGGATATATTGCGCAAGTTTCGGGACTGTCGGAGGTATTTTTGCAAGTCCACGCGGACGGATACCCCCGAGCCATCATCTTCAGGGACGGGACTGGTGATGTCTCGCCGGAGGAGATCCTCGCCAGCCTCCCAGAGCTTATGCACGGATATCTCATTCCCAGTAGATTGGACGTGCTAGATGGTCCTATGCCACGCAACACACATGGGTTGATTGACGAGGCTGCTGTGCAAGCCAAGCTGACTGCACTGCATCCAACAGCCACGTCAAGCACGCAGCAGCAGGTATCTAATCTCTTCGCAACGGCACTCAGAGCTGCCCCGGAAGATATGACTCCCGCGACCGACTTTTTCGAGTCGGGTGGGGACAGTATGAGTGCGGGCCAGCTTATCTCCAAGATCCGGCAGGAGTTCCGGGTGCCTGTGGCAGGGGATGTTCTTTTTCAGCATAGTACTGTAGGCGCCATCACGGCCATTATCGAGGCAGCGATCGCTGATTCTGAGACACGTAAAGTTGAAAGTCACGAGCTTCCAGGTTGTCGAGAGACATATAGCTCCACTCATCCATGGGTGTTATTCCTAAATTTTGTTCCATCTGTCATTCTTTACCCAATGCTTCAGGCGCTGCGCTGGTCATTCTTGGTTTATCTGCTCTCTGAAATATCGACACGGTTTCCGCTGCGTCCGAATCTCTTTGGACGGCTGCTTGGCCTCATCCTCATCCAACTGACTGTCCAGCTGTTGATGGCAATTATCTCCCCCCTAATAGGGATCGCACTAAAATGGCTCCTTGTTGGTCGATACCGCGCAGGAATGTATCCAATGTGGGGACCGTACCATATGCGGTGGTGGCTGGCACAGAAAGCGCTCCAAGTGTGTGGGAAGGTATGTACTGAATCGTGATCCTTCCCCGTCCACAGAGTAAGCTGACCAAGAGATACCAGGGTGTATTCGACCGTTATGGCAGGAGCCGAATCTGGTACTATCGAGCTTTGGGTGCACGTATTGGCCGCAATGTCTTTATCGACGAATTCACGGCCCTTGGGGAGTACGATCTCCTTCACATCGGCGACGGTGTGGTGCTTGAGAATTGCATCTGCCGTCCATTTGCGAGTGAGCGCAATACTTCGATGCTGCTACAGCCCATCACCATTGGAGCCAACTCTTATGTGGGCCTCCGATCGACCGTGGTACCTGGGACCACGCTGCCCCCCAGCACGTGTGTCGGCGCCAACTCGTCCACCTGGGAAGTCGACGATGCGGACGAGTCCAACCGCGATCAATATTTTGCCCGGGATATGCAGCCCCACTGGATCTGGCATATTTTGGTCGTGGGGTGGCTGCAGCTTCTTGTACACTTCGTGTCGGAATTGCCGCGCATCGCAGGTTTGCTCCCAATCGTAAGTCGCTACCCGGCTGTCGCGGACGACCGTTTGCGACACACCGTGTCTTGGCTCACCAGCCGGACTCGGATCGGCTACTTCCTTCTCATGCGGCTCTACTCTGCTGTGGCGGGACCCTTTGCGTGGTTCCTGGCGGTGCTTGTAATCAAGCGCGGTTTGGACGCAGTTTGTGGTCGGCCGTCGCGAGGCCCTATGAACAGACTGCGTTCGGCTCAGAAGGTGAGACACGCGGCCCTATACGCCATCCTTCCGCAGGGGGACATCTCCCGCCTGGCGCAACTGGTAGGGCCGCACTACGAGCTGGTCTCTGTGGCGGTACGGCTGTTGGGCGGGAGCGTGGGGAAACGTGTATACTGGCCACGTACCGAGTTGAAACTGATCCCGGACTTTGACCTGGTGGACATCGGGCACGACGTAGTGTTTGGCTCCCGGTCGTGCCTGGTCACGATTGACGGGCTGGGCAGGGACCCCATTGTTATCAAGAATGGGGCCATGCTGGGGGACCGATGCGTAGTCCTTCCGGGGGTCACCATTGGGACGCGCACGATGGTTGGCTCAGGCGCATTGCTGCGGCGAAACGGCTCCTATCCGGACGACAGCGTCTGGACTGGCAGCAAGCATGGTGATGCCGTCCGCTTCCCTCAGCTCAGGGGGAAGGGAGATGGTACCAAGTATACTGAAGATGGGGAACACAACACGACAAGGCCGTTCGGGCGCGCCCTGTACTTGGGAAAGGCAAACTACCATGTACTGGGCCAGGGGCCTATCGTTGGGTACTCCAGCTTTATGGTTGCTTTCACCGCCGTGTACTCAATGGCTTCGCCGTTGGCAGCGTTGCTCGTGCTGAGTCGTCTGCTCCCAAGGGAACTGACGGCTTTTGAGATGCGATGGTGGCGTCCTTTTGCCGTGTATGGCGTATTATCAGCAGTCATGGCGGCAGTGGCTTTAGTCCAAGGGATAGTGTCGTTGGCGATTGTTATCGCAAGCAAGTGGATGCTCCTCGGACGACGACAGGAGGGGTCCTACCCCTATGACCGCAGTAGCTATTGCCAGCGCTGGCAGATTCAGCGCACCATCGATATGCTCATTGAGCATTCCTTTGGCGGGACGGGCATCCGGTCGTTACTCAGCGGGACGGCGTACCTCAGCTGGTTCTACCGCGCGATGGGGGCGACGATCGGGGCAGATTGTGCGCTGAGCGCAAACGGTGAACCGCACATTTTTCTCACGGAGCCGGACCTGGTGACACTGGGGGATCGGGTCACAGTAGATGATGCCAGCCTGGTGTGCCATCTCAACACGCGTGGGGATTTTGAGCTGCATCCGCTTCGAGTGAGCGATCGGAGTGTGATGCGCACCGGGTCTCGATTGTTGTCAGGGGCGTCGATGGGGAAGGATGCGTGTTTGTTAGAGCATACGCTCGTGCTGTCGGGGGATCATGTTGAGGATGGAACGACGTTGCAGGGCTGGCCGGCGGAGGAATTTAGGGGGGATCGACTACGACCGTAGACTATATGCCGATTGTGCGGTGAGGAGGATATATATTAGTACTTGCAAGCTGGTGGGATCTGGGTTGGAGGTAAATTGAAAACTCTAAGTATTTCTAGCGACCATCTACAAATCACCTCCTTGAAACCGGCGGCTCGTAATAAGTCGTTAGGGCGTGCACATTCAGAACTCTAGTGGACTGGACAGTTCTGCATTTCAAGTTTCTTTCCTTAGGTGGCTGTCACCCGCCCAAAATCTCACAGATGCAGAGCTGCAGTTCAAATCATTCCTTCGTCCATAACACGACACCATGTCTCTCATCACTCATGGGATCTGACCAACCCTTTGCCCTGAGATATATTTATTTCAGCCTTCACGCCCTAACAACAACCACACCAAGTTAAGATAGAGATGAAATGTCCATCTCAAAACATCCAGCCCGGCAGAATACGCTGCAACACACTACCTGCAGCAGCATCGGGGTGCGGCAGGTGGCCCAGCGGATGATCTGCGCACTTGCGCACATCCGCGGGGGTGACGCCTTCTGGGAGATCGGCTGGGTCGATTTTCATTACTCCGAGGGAGCCGCACTCTTCTTCGGCACTGATATCGGTGGATAGGGCGGTCGTGGCATAGATGGTGAGGAGGAGGAAGGTAGGTGAGGAGTTTCATTTTGAGTGCTTTTCTTCGAGGATGGTGGGATGAATTAGGTTTGCGAGGGTGGAGGCAGGATAGGAGCTGGTGAAAAGATTGGGAGAAGATATAAGTTGTATTGTTTGGGTTTTCTCAACTAGTAGTGGCGTTAGGGTGAGGAGTTGCTTGTTGATTTATAAACTGGAGTTGCCAACAGAAGACGTGGCCGGATTGGCCTTGTCCGTTGCCTGATGTCTGTACTACCTGTTTCTTTGCTCTATGGGCTATAGTAGATGCCTAGACTTGGTGGTCCGAGTGAACGGAAAATGCCAGTGACTCATCGAAAGTACCATGGTTGATTTGGTAGGTTTTAGCTTGGAGCTCCTTATCTACAGGGGTATGATTCCTGTGAATAAGTGAAACCAACACTTGGTGAGATTTGATTAGTTTATGAATGTCTACTTAGTGACTCTTGGCAGGGTCTGTACCATAAGATTATACCGTGACAATGATGAAACTAGGATAAATCTAGCCAATCTGCAATTGGCTGACTGAGATCAACAATATGAAAGCTGAGGATTCGAGCAACTTCCTGCGATGAACGTTTGCGACATCCGCGGAAGATCGGATTCGAAGATCTGTGCTGATGGGTCTAGGATACGGTCGATGATGTGCACCACGCCCTATGTCAATAATTTATTAGACAATTATTGTTCGATGGTCTTGCAAGGAAGCAGTGAATGCGTACACTGGTAATCGGAATATCTGATTCCACTACACTTGCCACTTGGTTGAGAACAACCGTTCCATCCTGTACTTGCGAGCTCACGAAGAGGTAGGTGGCAGTCTAATCTTAATATCAGCTATATGCATTATATCTGGATGGGTATGTTCACCTGGAATCGCTGCAATGTCTCATTGAAACTAGCTGATGTGAGCTCGGAGTTAGGCACATAGTGGTGGATGATAGTGTTCCCCAGCCACCATTTCCCTTTTCTAGGCGGATTTAGCGACAGCAACCCAAGTACAATAAATATGATCAGACATACGGAGTCGGCTCGAAGCTATCAAAGTATGCCCCGGTATACTTTTCAAAGGCATTGTTATTCGGCGCAAAGAATGTAAATTTCCAGTCTGGATGTGTGTCAAACGCTTGTGCAAATCCGCCAAGTTCATCGATCTTCTGAGACAGGATGCTCAAGTCGGACCGAGATTTGATGAAATTTAGAGCGGTCGTCACATTTGAGGAGCTGGAGGCTACATAGCCGGGGATGTTTCGGTAGTTCAGAGGGTCTGTTTTGGCCGTTACTAGACTGCTCAAAGATAGGAGGACTAGTGCTGGGAAAGGTGAGAATTTCATGTTGGGACTCCCAAAATGTTGCTAAAACAGCTTCAATATATGATATATGGTGAATTGGAAGAAAATAATTGAAGGGTCCATGATTAAGAACTCGGGCAACTTGTTCAGGGTTACTAGTAGTAGTTTGGCCGCTAGATCTCCCGGAGCATCTCCGCAACCCCATCCGCCAAACCCGTCCAATGAGAATATATCACTCGGCTGAAAGGCTGCAGCTCTATTAGCTGGTAACTCTATTCTACCTATTCCCTTTACTACGGCGGGGAACCCGGACAACTACCGGAGGTTGCATAGTTAGCCACCGATGGAGAAACGAACTTGCTACAAATAAAACTTTTATAATTGCCCCATAAACGACTCCTACTCCTCGGTTACCTCAGCACACAGCTCCAGTATAACCAGCAGCACAATGGGACGCAATTGTCAACTCTTCTCATTCCGCTTGGCCATCGTGGCGATTTTAACCTTCGTCCACTCCGTCCTGGGCGGCACTAGCCTGGCGCAAAAACCTCAGATGGGCTGGAACTCATGGAACGCATTCAAAGCGACGGTAAACTATACGATAGTCCAGGATGTTATGGAGCGCTTCGATACCCTTGGACTAAAAGAAGCAGGCTACGAATACGTGCTGCTTGATGACGGATGGGCAAGCTACAATCGCACATCCGACGGGTATCTTCAAGCCAATGCAACGTCCTTTCCTCAGGGAATTAAGACACTGGCCGAAGAGGTACATACTAAGGGCCTAAAATTAGGCCTTTACGGAGACAGTGGACACTACACATGTGCGTGGAGACCAGGAAGCTGGGGATATGAAGAAAGAGATGCCCAAACGTTCGCAGGTTGGGGCGTGGACTATCTCAAGTACGACAACTGTGGCGGATTCCAGTCGATGACGGAGGCCCCTCAGATCCGCTTTGGGGCAATGAAGAATGCGCTCGCACTTTCGGGTCGAGATATCTTCTATTCCGTGTGTGGTTGGGGCTATCAGTTCCCTTGGCACTGGGGAGGAGGTGAGATACATCCCACAGACAAGCCGGTCTTTTACTTTGAGATACTCATTTTATCTGCCTGCAGACATCGGCCACTCATACAGAATGTCTGGCGATATCACGACAAGCTTCACCAATGAAACCGAGTGTCAGTGCAAGACTGCCTACTGTCTTAACACTGGATATGCCGGTTGCTCAGTCCTGACGATCATCAATAAAATGAAAGAAATCAGCCAATATCAGACTCAGGGTCACTGGTTGGATATGGATATGCTCGAAGTCGGAAATGCCAATTTCACACTTCACCAGCAACAGACACATTTTGCGTTCTGGGCGGCGCTGAAATCACCCTTGATCATTGGGGCTGATCTCAGTAAGCTTTCCAATGATAGCTTAGCCGTGCTCACTAATAAGGCAATCATCTCCATCAATCAAGACGCTCTTGGAGAGCCTGTGACGTATAAAGAGGCTCACAGTAAGGAAGGCCTCTTTCAGGTATGGGCTGGAAATGTCGAGGGGGGATATGTTGTGCTTCTTTTGAACGAGAAGAGTTATCCGCAGACTGCGTCTCTGAGCTTTGCGAGTCTTGGGCTTGGCTCGCCTCAGAAGGTTGTTGAACTTTGGACGGGGAAGACTTTGCAGGATGCCAATACATTCAATGGAACTTTGGGGTCCTATCAAACTCTTGTGTTTAGAGTGCAGACATGATAATTTGAAGGAAGGTGTGGCTCATATTCTCAATGTTTCAACTTCATCATCACTATTCTCACTACCCTACCTGTAGTACCCCTTTATGTAAACATTTCTATTAGCTATCAAGTAGACTTGTTTGTGCTTATGGTTTGCTAGAAGGGCATTTTATCAGGGGGTGGACGAGACGTCACCGGATGGAGCACTCAGGCTGGAAAACTTAGATTGATGGCATGATTGAAGATTAAGGGGGACTTATTATGCATTCACTACGGGTGTTCCTTCTACCGAATGCATCTCGGTAGGATGATGTGGAGGATATACTTGTGCTACTGATCATGACTGCGTGGGGGCATGCTCCACCTATGGTGCCGGAGTTGGGTGGTTCAGTAGGTCCAGAGCCGGTCACTTTGCAAAAGGGGCGATTGAAATGTCTACAGGAATCAGCAACCCCGAAAGACGGCACATGCAAGGGACAAAGCCGATAGAACACATACCCATGGTGTATGTCGACCACCGAGCTAGATGTGATTGGAAGCAATATAAAAGGTAGGCCGTCAAGGTACCCCTACCGGCATATACCAAGCTTCCCGTATTAGTTAGAGCGTGATACGCCAGCAGACAAGTCAATTATGGGTGACAGATGTGAAGACGGACCATCTCATGCTCCTGCAATCTCGGCTCGTAGTGGTCAGAGTTCATTCCACAAACCTCGTGTCGAGTGCGTTGCATGTTGGTAACTGAGTGGTCCAACCTTCTTTGGCTAGACCCTTAAAACATCCAGTTGATGCTAAATCTTGAAATATGCCTTTGTCTCTGAGAGGTGGACTGATTGTGGGTTGACAGGTTGCGTGGCCTGGTGGATCCCGTGCACAAGGGTTCGCAAACTCACTCTCTTTTCGTTCGCCCCACTTAGCTGTTCTCTGCCTCTACAGAGTGTTCTACTTAGGATAGTCTAGAGTGCATTATAAGATTTTCATGACGCACTCACACACGCGGAAAGGGTCTTTAGTGCCCCCTGCACATACGTAAGTTACCCGCCGATCCTTCCCTGAAGACATGGACCCTGGATATTAGCTGCAGGTGGGTCTGTCTTCCACTCCGCACGAGATACATTTTCCATGCTATACACATCAGTAGAAGCAAACGCTGGAACTTGATGAGAACGAACATGCTAGTTCTGTAAATTTCCGGTGTTATTAGTGATCCTTTAAGTGAGTTAGTGAAGGTCGGAGACCAACCCGGCTTTTCTGTACGATTAGGGCCAGCGCGCCCCAACTCCCAAGACTTGACAGTAGCAACGAACCACTACCTACAGTTGAAAGCGGGAGTTCCTGATCAGTTATCTA